CTGAACCATAGTATCAGAAAGTCCATATCATTCGGATTTCCGTTTTCATCCAAACCTTCCCAGGTCTTAAATTTGAAAAACAACGAATCTGAAAAATTATTTTAAGCACAAAACGGACGTTACTATTCATTTTATGCTGGATCAATAAAACGTTGAAGACATAAATCACAAGAAATCTGCTAAAAGAAGGATCCTTTATACGATTCAGTCTTTGAGTGGCATTTCCCCGACTTACTCACCCGGAACGATGTTTGTTTGTTTGTTTGTTTGTTTGTTTGTTTGTTTGTTTGTTTGTCTCTTTCTTCCAAGATTATGAAGCTTATACAGACCCTCCTACTTAAACTATGCCGATGGCTAAGACGGGATCAGCGTATCGCTAACCTGTTAATAATTACTGTCCTGGGCGTGTAAAAATTCTTCCAGTCTTTTTTGTTTCAGTTCACACCTCAGAACATGGTTCGCTGGGTAATACCGGCCAACGTCCTAAGTTCTGTTGAAAATTTTTCCATTAACTTGCCAAGTTATTGGTTTGATCATTAACTCGGACGGCTTGCTGGCTCGTCAATTAAGTCTATGTTTATGATATATACTGTGCGTCATTATTGGGGGGTCACGCAGAAAGTAAAAGGTAAAAATATTTTTTAAAAAGCCGCATTACCGACTTCCAAGAGTTCAGTTCAGTTACATCTATAATGAAGCATGTTGTACCTTTCTTCAATGTTACTTTTCATGTATTGCACATACATGCTCTAAACCACTGGTTGCGTTCGGACGTGTGTTTTTTACAGGGTATCCCGTTCCATCACCTTCAATCCTGCACTTTTCAGCGTTTTTGAAAAATTCGTTGTCCATTTTTTCCGGTTTCGAAAGGGCATCTTATATATGCCACATAGGCATAAACAACATGTTCTTCAACTAGTATAACATTGTCAACAAACTCGGGCCTATTGACCCGCGTTGGTATATGTTCATGTTTGACAACCTACATACCATGGTGACCATTCCATGATGACGCTGACAATGGTCAAGAGACTGTATTAATTTTATTTATTTATTTTTTTAACTTTCTTTTTATGTTGCATTTTTGTTTCAGTTGCGCATATTACTGTATTTGTTGACCAATCATTGAAGCCTAGTGCCTTCTTTAAGAGTTCATCATTAATTTAATAACTTTCCTTCCTGAGGTTAAGTCCTAACAGTAAAATAGTTTAAACCGTTTCAGTTCACACCAGTGTCCATGACTGGGTGAGAAATTTAAGCAACATTGTTTAGAGAAACAACAAACTGTAAGGTTAATAGTGTGCTTACTTTGTTACCCTGGGAATAGTAAATAAAAGTGAAAAAAACCTGTCCATATTCATGCGAAATCTCTATATCTAGAGCACGTGTTTATGTATCATTATCAAATACTGACGATACCAGGTGTTTATGTATCATTATCAAATAGTGATGATACCAGGTGATTATGTATCATTATCAAATAGTGATGATACCAGGTGTTTATGTGTCATTATCAAATAGTGATGATACCAGGTGTTTATGTATCATTATCAAATAGTGATGATACCAGGTGTTTATGTATCATTATCAAATAGTGATGATACCAGGTGTTAATGTATCATTTTCAAATAGTGATGATACCAGGTGTTTATGTATCATTATCAAATCGTGATGTACCAGGTGTTTATGTATCATTATCAAATAGTGATGATACCAGGTGTTTATGTATCATTATCAAATAGTGATGATACCAGGTGTTTATGTATCATTATCAAATAGTGATGATACCAGGTGTTTATGTATCATTATCAACTAGTGATGATACCAGGTGTTTATGTATCATTATCAAATAGTGATGTACCAGGTGTTTATGTATGATTATCAACTAGTGATGATACCAGGTGTTGAGGTATCATTATCAAATAGTGATGTACCAGGTGTTTATGTATCATTATCAAATAGTGATGATACCAGGTGTTTATGTATCATTATCAAATAGTGATGATACGAGGTGTTTATGTATCATTATCAACTAGTGATGACACCAGGTGTTTATGTATCATTATCAAATAGTGATGATACCAGGTGTTTATGTATCATTATCAACTAGTGATGATACCAGGTGTTTATGTATCATTATCAAATAGTGATGATACCAGGTGTTTATGTATCATTATCAAATAGTGATGATACCAGGTGTTTATGTATCATTATCAAATAGTGATGATACCAGGTGTTTATGTATCATTATCAAATAGTGATGATACCAGGTGTTTATGTATCATTATCAACTAGTGATGATACCAGGTGTTTATGTATCATTATCAAATAGTGATGATACCAGGTGTTTATGTATCATTATCAAATAGTGATGATACGAGGTGTTTATGTATCATTATCAACTAGTGATGACACCAGGTGTTTATGTATCATTATCAAATAGTGATGATACCAGGTGTTTATGTATCATTATCAACTAGTGATGATACCAGGTGTTTATGTATCATTATCAAATAGTGATGATACCAGGTGTTTATGTATCATTATCAAATAGTGATGATACCAGGTGTTTATGTATCATTATCAAATAGTGATGATACCAGGTGTTTATGTATCATTATCAAATAGTGATGATACCAGGTGTTTATGTATCATTATCAAATAGTGATGATACCAGGTGTTCGTGAAAAGTTGAACGTATCTTGCCCCACACATGGCACCCGTCACATGCAAAGGCAAGTCAACTGGTTCAGTATTCAGAACATTCACTTAAAACTAATAGCATTTCTTAAGACGATCAGATTAGGTACTATTATCAGAACAGTAAAAAACAAACTTACCACACTTAAAAGAATCTGCTAAATTTGACCTACAATTTGAACCAGCGAATACTTCCAAAAGGCGTCTGCCGTCGTTTCGCATCAGACAATTTAAAGACAGTAATACCAGCTTTCATATCAGCTTCACAAAGGCCTGTTTTAGGGAGAAGTCCGAATAAGAAATCAACCTTTGTCTTGATTCTCAAACCTGAAGACATATCCATTCCTCTTTTGTACTGGATTCCATGGCTCCTGAAACATCCGCACAAAGAGAGATCTGTTCTTGCCCCACACCATGTATCAGTCTCTGTCACAGAGATTAACCATAAATCATTTATACAATCAACGAAATACTTTCTCCATAAAGAACAGAAAGTTTTGAGTTTTGAGAAGTGGGACAGTTGAAATAGTGTGGAAACTTAAACACTCTACACACTTTAATTTTATTAATCTCGGAAAAGAACCAAATTCAATTATGTCATAACATTTGATTTGTCAACTGTGTACCTCGCTATACTACATGGCAAACGAAAGGGGAAATGTCATTTCTTGACCCAAGGGGCATTTGTTACTGAACTTGGTGGCCATAGATATAGTTACATCTTTATTTTCAAGCCTGCTCTTTCAACGAAGATTTGAAAGAGCGTCATACAACTTCTTTCAAAACGTTTACTTTGTGAGGCATGTGAAGAACATTTCCACATTTGAAGCATCAGTGACAAAAATCATGTCTCATGCAATTCCTTATTTGGGCTTGTGCCAACTGTTCCCCTGTTTTTGTACTCTGAAGCCTGAAGACATGTCCATTCCTCGTTTGTACTTGGTCCCAACGCTCCATAGATATCCGTACAAAGAAAGATATATTGCCTTGTGTTCCCGTGGTTTTTCAAGTGAACATTTGACGTGCCTTTGCGTGTGTTTGTGACTGGTGCCACAGTTAAGACTAAATACGCTCACCTGGTAGCATGACAATTTCGAAAGTGATTCATAAACACATGCTTTTAATGTCGGAATCGTAAATCAACAATGGATTCTAATGAAAATGGAAAGGGTTTTGTCATTTTTATGTATGCTCTTACATCATAAGTGAATGTATTTAACATATACATTTCTGCCCAAATTATATTGTCACATGTAATCATATTGGAATAACAAAGAGACTGCAATTCTGTATTTTGTAACGAGAATTCAAATACATTTCTTTTTTCTTTATTATATCAAATATTTTTCTGTAAATATAGCTTCCCCGGAGTTGTTTACCTCGTGATAAGCTCACTCACTCACTCACTCACTCACTCACTCACTCACTCATCCACCCACCCACCCACCCACTCACTCACTCACTCACTCGCTCTCCCGCCCGCCCGCTCGCTCGCTCGCTTGCTCACTCACTCACTCACCCATCCAATTCCGTTAGTCGCCACTTACGACGAACATGGTTTGCTGAAGACCAATGCTATAGTATTGCAGAGCGCAACTATAGTGAGTGAGTGAGTGAGTATGGTTTTACGCCGCTTTTAGCGATATTCCAGCAATATCACGGCGGGGACACAAGAAATGGGCTTTACACATTGTACCCATGACGAGCGAACGCTTTAACCACTAGGCTACCCAGCCTCCCCGAGCGCAACTATAAACAATAAACAAAGAAACCTGACTCCTGAGCACTCGTTAACGTGTTAGTCATTACTGTATTTGTTTCAGATGACAGTACAGGACATGGCTCGCTGATTCTGTACAAATACATTAATCAAACTTTCATGTTAGCATACTTTCTTTCTAACCCTGACTATATTTAAACTAATCGTTAAAGTACCAGGTCAGTCAAACATACATTCATTAAAACATCATTTCACGTTTGGAGTCCATGTTTAAGTAGATGAGTAGCGTGTCAACGTATCAAAATCTTGGCTCCCTGCATCCGTATATTTTGAAAACAGCTCCCGAAGTATCACAAAGTAAAGACAACGCATGGAGAACAACTTCTGTAACGGCGACGTTTCGGTACAGATCCTTACACCGTTGTCACGCAACGGCCTTCCTGTTTGAAGATTGTATTGTTTGTATATAGTAATATAATTTAGTATTCAGACATCTGGTCAAAACGTTGTTTCATATCATTTACGACTGCAGAGCTGTTCTTTCAGGAGCAAGCGTTCAACCTAGGGGAAATGGTTTGCCTCAGGTCACGTGATAAGGCCTGCAATCATATATGATATGGAACAAAGTCATGGTTTGATTTCTGACTGTTGTGTTTGACTGACTGTTGTGTTACACCGACAGTACACTCTAGGCGGTTAACCGTTGTTGTGTTTGACTGACTGTTGTGTTACACCGACAGTACACTCTAGGCGGTTAACCGTTGCCATGTAATACAACCGGAAGCCCTCGGTTGGTCCCTTGACACCTCGTCAATGTGACCGCCATGGCTCCCCACCAAGATACGTCATCAAACATAATATAGCAAACCACCCTAGGCATGGATGACATGTGTGTCTTAATTACACATGGTCTACAAAATTAATATATATTCAAATACAATATAAGGTCAATTTGAACACAAATTCTAAACGAGATTACCCCTTTCAGAGAGGTTGTCCATGAACTTAATCAATATCAAGATATTTCAATAACATCGTCGTTAGAACAGTGGGAGAAAGCTGCTTCACAAACCCCCAGTCACTTCATTCAATTAGCCGGGACGTCATCTATTGGGGAATGTTTTCGGAATATTATGGACAGTAATTATTATATATAGGCGTGTAATTTCGCTTCGTTTCGTTTCGTGTATGTAATGATATTAAACTGATCCGACCGATCATATAATGATACATTTGGAAAAAAACAATGTAGGAAATATACAGTGGTGGGGGGAACAGTGCTCGGGCGAAAGACTTTACAGGTGAAAGTTGAGTGATGGAGAGAACAGGGGAAGGCTGTGTGATGTAGGAGGGTACAGGGGAAGGCTGTGTGATGTAGGAGGGTACAAGGGAAGGCTGTGTGATGTAGGAGGGTACAGGGGAAGGCTGTGTGATGTAGGAGGGTACAGTGGAAGGTTGTGTGATGTAGGAGGGTACAAGGGAAGGTTGTGTCATGGAGGAGCGTACAAGGGAAGGTTGTGTCATGTAGGAGGGTACAGGGGAAGGCTGTGTGATGTAGGAGGGTACATGGGAAGGCTGTGTGATGTAGGAGGGTACAGGGGAAGGTTGTGTGATGTAGTAGGGTACAGGGGAAGGTTGTGTGATGTAGTAGGGTACAGGGGAAGGCTGTGTGATGTAGGAGGGTACATGGGAAGGCTGTGTGATGTAGGAGGGTACAGGGGAAGGCTGTGTGATGTAGGAGGGTACTGGGGAAGGTTGTGTCATGTAGGAGGGTACAGGGGAAGGCTGTGTGATGTAGGAGGACACAGGGGAAGGCTGTGTGATGTAGGAGGGTACAGGGGAAGGCAGTGTGATGTAGGAGGGTACAGGGGAAGGCTGTGTGATGTAGGAGGGTACAGGGGAAGGCTGTGTGATGTAGGAGGGTACAGTGGAAGGCTGTGTGATGTAGGAGGGTACAGGGGAAGGTTGTGTGATGTAGGAGGGTACAAGGGAAGGCTGTGTGATGTAGGAGGGTACAAGGGAAGGCTGTGTGATGTAGGAGGGTACAGGGGAAGGTTGTGTGATGTAGGAGGGTACAGGGGAAGGTTGTGTGATGTAGGAGGACACAAGGGAAGGTTGTGTGATGTAGGAGGGTACAGGGGAAGGTTGTGTGATGTAGGAGGGTACAGGGGAAGGTTGTGTGATGTAGGAGGGTACAGGGGCAGGCTGTGTGATGTAGGAGGGTACAAGGGAAGGTTGTGTGATGTAGGAGGGTACAGGGGAAGGCTGTGTGATGTAGGAGGGTACATGGGAAGGTTGTGTGATGTAGGAGGGTACAGGGGAAGGCTGTGTGATGTAGGAGGGTACAGGGGAAGGCTGTGTGATGTAGGAGGGTACAGGTGAATGCAGTGTGATGTAGGAGGGTACAGGAGAAAGCTGTGTGATGGAGGAGGGTACAGGGGAAGGTTGTGTGATGTAGGAGGACACAGGGGAAGGTTGTGGGATGTAGGAGGGTACAGGGGAAGGCTGTGTGATGTAGGAGGGTACAGGGGAAGGCTGTGTGATGTAGGAGGGTACAGGGGAAGGTTGTATGATGTAGGAGGGCACAGGGGAAGGTTGTGTGATGTAGGGGGGTACAGGGGAAGGCTGTGTGATGTAGGAGGGTACAGGTGAATGCAGTGTGATTTAGGAGGGTACAGGGGAAGGCTGTGTGATGTAGGAGGGTACAGGGGAAGGTTGTGTGATGTAGGAGGGTACAGGTGAATGCAGTGTGATGTAGGAGGGTACAGGGGAAGGTTGTGTGATGTAGGAGGGTACAAGGGAAGGTTGTGTGATGTAGGAGGGTACAGGTGAATGCAGTGTGATGTAGGAGGGTACAGGGGAAGGCTGTGTGATGTAGGGGGGTACAGGGGAAGGCTGTGTGATGTAGGAGGGTACAGGTGAATGCAGTGTGATGTAGGAGGGTACAGGGGAAGGCTGTGTGATGTAGGAGGGTACAAGGGAAGGTTGTGTGATGTAGGAGGGTACAGGTGAATGCAGTGTGATGTAGGAGGGTACAGGGGAAGGCTGTGTGATGTAGGAGGGTACAGGGGAAGGTTGTGTGATGTAGGAGGGTACAGGGGAAGGATGTGTGATGTTGGAGGGTACAGGTGAATGCAGTGTGATGTAGGAGGGTACAGGGGAAGGCTGTGTGATGTAGGAGGGTACAGGGGAAGGCTGTGTGATGTAGGAGGGTACATGGGAAGGTTGTGTGATGTAGGAGGGTACAGGGGAAGGATGTGTGATGTAGGAGGGTACAGGTGAATGCAGTGTGATGTAGGAGGGTACAGGGGAAGGCTGTGTGATGTAGGAGGGTACAGGGGAAGGCTGTGTGATGTAGGAGGGTACAGGGGAAGGCTGTGTGATGTAGGAGGGTACATGGGAAGGCTGTGTGATGTTACAAACACTGCATGTCACTTTAAGCCACTTGAATATGTAAATGTATCTATAAATTTAAACATTATGTTATGTAATCACTCGGATCAGGCAGCTGCTGGCAGAGTAGCATTATGTTGTACTTTGTTTATACGCATATGTAATAGCATACGATAATCGATGGAGTTTGTTTATATTTTATTAACCTTGTCAAGCAAGAAATGAGAGAGTATATACAGATAGATGGAAAATTCGGAGCACATACAAATATATCTGAATACAATTTGCTGCTTTTTAGATAAAGAAAGATGAGACAAAAAGTGAAATATTAGTAGCGATTGTGTTCAGTTCACTGCATTGTCAAACAAGCATTGTTGTGATGGGACTTTAACTAGCAATCTGAGTTGTTTCTATATTCAGATTTGCATGTTTAAAATTCTATTTATATTTTAGGGCCGCTTCTATCATTCACTCAAAGCGTTATAAAATCTCCACTGTGCTCGATGATGAATGAGTCTCATTTTCCGCGGCAACAAAATCATTACGTTGACTGGGAAACAGCTCTGTTGGGGAGGATGGTGCCCGGGGTCGCAGGCTTTGAAATGTTGATTCTCTGCCAAGTCATCCATTCGTGTGCCTGTTAATGAGCAAAAGAAAGCAAGTCTGTTCTTTACATTTACAAGTAAAGCTCCACGTTATGGGGCAGCTTCACGAGGTGATACGAGGCTGAATGAGATCTCAAGGCAACCTCAGATTGAAAGCGTAAGAGATGGGGAGATGGAGAAGGGAGGTGTGGGGGGGGGGGGAGAGAGAGAGAGAGAGAAAGGGGTCTGTTTGGTCTGCATGGAAATCTGACTAAACGAGGGAGCCTGTCCCGGAATAGTATTACATCTTCATCCTAAAACGACTAATATGAGATGAGTATCGGATGGTCACAATGGCTCATCGTATGTGTCATTGTTCCCAGACATCGTGGATTTCTGCTCATGTTATCAACTACTGGTTCATTATTCAGGATGCAGCGGGAATATTTCTCACTGCGGCGTAATTCAACATCCACTCATCCTGTAGCTTCAGTCATGACACAGCGCCGTGCGTTTTGATTTGAAATGAATAGCAATCTCCTACAAGCTGAGAAAGGAAACCTGCTCTGTCCGGGTAAGATGCCACTCTAGGACAGCCAGGGCGTGACTGAGACACAGTATTCCACGTAGTTCTAAAGAAAGTATGCACACATGTTTATTGGTGGTGACAAATGAAACATTCAAGAAATGGTTATTTGATGGTGATGTATTTGATACGGTATCATTTGTGTTTTGGACCTAAGTTTGCAATGTTTCGGCGATTGTTTTCAGCCCAGTAACGTATTTATAAAATTTTAATTTTGCGGTCAAATCTAATTATCAAGTATGTATTGTTTTTCCCCGGAAGTTTAGTAGCAATGTATACTGTTGTTTGTTTGTTCTTTTGTTTTGTTGGGTTTTGTTTTTTTGTTTTTCTTTTTTCGTCCTTTTTGTTTCTTGTTTTGGTTTTTAATTTTGGTTTAATTTCTTGCCTTCTTTTCTTTTTCCTTTTCTTAATTTTTATTTTGTCTTTTGTTTTTTATTTGTTTTTGTTGTGCTTTGGGGTGGGGTGGGCCCATGCCCTCATTAGGCCTGCATGCCGGAGTCATGCCTTGTGTATCAAATATATTGACGACGAACATATAACATATTCTCTTTCATCTTTGCCCCGGGCACCTCGTCATCTTCTGGAACTTTCTCCCTCTCAGCATCTCTCAGCGGAACCTGATGCATAACGACTGATTACCTTGTCAGACTGGTTTCTCGCGCGTGGTATGCGCAGTATTTATTAATATCACTAGACAAGAGCCCAGTGTAGATTACCATCCCTCACAACCATTAGGAAGCATGTACTGTATAACTACTAGTCCAGGAGACGCAACGCCGCTGTTATCAGTGTATTAAAGGAACGAATAGATTTTCGGAAAACCATCAAGACATGCCGTTTAAAATACATTTTTCTGCGCTATCTTCACATTTTCAAATGAAATTGCGAACTGTACAAATTTTTCTGAGAACGCCTTGCTAGATTGCGATGGTTACAACTGGTGCTGAAGTCGAGTAGGTTCTGGAAACAGCTTGTTAATGCATTCACCACACCGTGAAGACAGTACCATCTCCACACGCTGGTATAGGGTTACATCAGGAGTCTGGTGTAGTTCTCGCATCTTTTCCCTTGTACTGCGTGTAGTGCAGCAGAGATCTCATGACACGAACAGCGGGTTACAGTCAGTAGCAGCGGTCTTGATAAAGGATTAAATTTTTGAAGGCGGCATGAATAGTTTAAATACATTAAATATAACTTACTTTTTACAATTAAGTGTGGAGGAACTAATTAGTCCGTACTTGGCATGACGTGAAGTCTTCATGTGTTGCTACAGCAACCACAGCAACTCCAACTAACAGCAACTGTAACAAGTAGCCTAGTCATACAGGCCCTGAAACAAATATATCCAATACAGCCCATGAGAGTCTATATATTTAGCAAGTCTAAATAACTGCAGTATCTGAAGATGAAGCAAGTCTCATGGCTCGTTTTATTTTATTTTATAACTTTGACTGTATGTTTCTTTAAAACATGCTCATTTCAGAGACTAGATGTTAGTCTACAAGTAGCCGTATGTAGCATGTAACTAGTTTGTTTGTTTGTTTGTTTGTTTGTTTGTTTATGCAACACTCAGCAATATTCCAACCATATGACGGCGATTTTTAAATAATCGAGTCTGGATCAGACAATCTAGTGATTGACATCATGAGCATCGATCTACGCAATTGGATTATACGATGACATGCATCAACCAGGTCAGCGAGCCTAACCACCTGATCCCGTTAGTTGCCTCTCACGACAAGCCATGCGCCTCTTACGGCAAGTATGGGTTGCTGAAGACCTATTCTAACCCGGATCTTCACGGGTCCACAAGTAGCCGTGTATGTAACATGGAGGTATATTTACCGAATTGCTAGTTATCTTGAATAGCCGGACATTCCGAATGGCTGTAAATATATGACGTCACCGACAGAGAATAGCCACCCTCGATCAACCGCCGAACCAGATTCTATAGGGAGTAAGGCAAAATAGGTGTGAAGAGAATAAGAATGGATCAATGAAAATCTGTGATGATGCCAGGTGTTCGCGAAGAGGGTAAGCTCTGCCACTCACACAATTTTCATAAAAAATGAAGTGTTTGATGCCTGACGCCGCAGTACTCCTGCCATACGGCCGCGACCTGTAAACAATAATCGTGTCATGTGACGATTATATTACCAGCAGTAGTAATTACATGTATATATAGGCGACAAAAAACTCTTTCCATAAGCTAAAAGATGGTTGTTGCGAACATTCTGATATAACTAATAGTTAGATATATAGAATATATTGGTATAACGACTAGTTAGATACATAGAATAGTCGGGCATAACGAATGGTTCGATATATAGAATAGTCGGGCATAATTAATGGTTAGATATATAGAATAGTCGGGTATAACGAATAGTTAGATATATAGAATAGTCGGGTATAACGAATAGTTAGATATATAGAATAGTCGGGTATAACGAATAGTTAGATATATAGAATAGTCGGGTATAACGAATAGTTACATATATAGAAAAGTCGGGTAAGGAAATCTATATACTCAGACTGGTGCTTGATATGGCGCCTCCTGGCGGTTCACAGCTCCTCGGTAACTAACCACTACCAAATATGGCCATACCATTACATAACGCAGCGGACGCTACACAGTGCCAGCTGACGAGTCTCTCCCCCCCCCCCTGCAAGGCTATCTCGTTCGCCATGGTTCATTGCCTACAGAGTCGACGCGGTGCCTGCAATCTGCATTCGCTGAAACTGTGTCTTGAAAACCTGTGTGATTTTTACGTCACACGTTGAATCAAACAGCTCTATAATATATTCTTAATATTTAGGAATAGCATTATTGGAATGACGTAAGCAGATCATTTTATGAAACTGCCTCGTTGTCTCTCTGTAACTGACAATTATTAATTAAAGGGGTGTTCGAATAATTAAAATCAAAAGCAGAAACCAGAAGGCTTTTAATAGGCAGTGCAATTAATCACACCCTCGTCATATTTACGAATAGACTTAAGTGATATATGTAGGTGTTCCATGGTAGTCATGCCATGTATTTACACACAGCATCTATACATCATGTACATTATATATCTGTCCTTCATGTTTACAAATCTATTTACTCCCAGAATGTAGCAAGTTTATACTCTGCCCTGTGGGGGTGTTCTGTACAATAAAACAAATCTTGATTCTTTGTAATGCACCCGTTTCTATAGCAACTGTACTCATGGTGTGTACACATACAATTTCCTGTAAATACCAGGTACCATGAACAACATTCTTTGAAACCGATAGCTTCTTTTGTCATAACTGCCCTGGTGTTTTCATTCTGACCGCCTCCGTGGTCTAGTGGTAGAGCGTCCGCCCGGAGAGCGTAAGGTTCGGGTTCGATCCCCGGCCACGTTATAGCAACAGACGTTATAATATGGTACTTGTTGTTACCCTGCCTGGCGCTGGGCAGTAAGGGGCCAAAACAAGGAGTCAGTGAACTGTGTCTGGGTGGGGTATTCATGTTAAACTGCGGCATGGTATCTCACTGAGCTAGCACTATAAATCGGCATCAGTCCGGACTAGTGCAAGCAGCTACACACACGTGCATGCACAACGCTATATTAGTCAATAATCTTGAACGCGACGTTAAACCCCATTTCACCTCACCTCACCTCACCCCACCTCACCTCACCTCACCTCACTCCCATCTTGTTACGACTGTTTTGGAAACGCAATTGATCCGCGGCACACATCACATACAAAGTGTGTTGATGGTGGTCCTCGTGTGTCCTCCATAATGAAACTAAGTCAATACTGTATGTACAATGTCAGGCGTGGCACCTTTTGTGGGTCCAAATATTATTCAATCACTCCTGACAACATATATCGTTCGAGCTGCCGGCAAACTGACAATTAATGGCTCACGTTTCATGTTTGTTTTTGTTTGTTTGTTAGTTTGTTGTTTAACGCCGCACTCAGCTATATGAGGGCGGTCTGTAAAGAAAATAATCTGGACCAGACAATCCAATGAGCATCGGTCTATGCAATTGGGATACATGACGTGAATCAACCAAGTAAGCGAGCCTGACCACCCGATCCCGCAAGTTGCCTCTTACGACAAGCATGGGTTGCTGGAGGCAAATTCTAACCTGAAATGTTCACGGGTCTGTTTCCTGTACATTACGCCACTGTCCCACTTTCCCACTTTCCATATCTTCTTACATGATCTATCTACTACTCAAAAGAAGTTAAAGAACACCCGATCTTTTCAAATGACCATAGTTAATCTGTCATGGCCATGCCTATATAAGAGGTTTGTTTTCATTTTTTCAAGACCAGAGGCCCATAAAACATATCAGTACATAAACGGTTATAAACATATAATAAGCAAAACACATGCGATCAATATTGATGAAGTGACCTATGTATCGTCATTGCTTTAAATGTGTATTTTGATAGCTGTACAGCTGTAAACCGACATTCACAGGACACAACATTTACAAAAGTGAGTGAGTTGGGTTTAACGCCGCTTTTAACAGTATTTCAGTTATATCACGGCGTGTCAGCCTAGTGTGGGAGGAAAGCCCGAAGTGATGCAGGTCTCGGACGTTTACCACTTCGGTGAAACCCACTAGCACGGGTATGGTGCTGACAAATCTAGAAACATAATCGGGGCGAACCGGGATTCGAACCCACAATCATAGGTTTCTGGCGTGTCCAAGGGATGCAACTCTGCACATGCGCATCGCGGCACCTTAGACGACTGGGCCACCCGTGCCCCCCATTTACAAAAGACTCCATTGAATGTTTAGTCACGTAATAAGTGTGAATACAGATTTGTCTAAGGTCAGTAACAGCATGGCATTTCAGCGGGAATGTGTATCCGTTTACAATCACTCTAACATTGGATCGGATACAATATTTACATTATCTGTTTGCGTTGTCGAGGTCGATGTATCTTCCAGGTTCTAACACTAAGTGCTGACATCCACATCTAAATCTCGTAACTAAAAACTCTGGAGTCAAGTTGAGAACATTAGGTTTCCGTTTGTTGTATTGATTTATAAGTTGCATTTTAGCTGTAAGTTTAGAGGTTGCTGTTGTTGTTGTATGCCATCTTTGGATGTGACGTTATACTCCGTGTTTAAATTCATATAAAATGCATCTACATTGCCTGCAGCTGAACCTTGCATTGTCCATGCATATCCAAAACCATAGAAACACGTATATCCATATAAATGGCCATGCCAGATAAACTACAGATATTGAAAATCTTCTTGAACTTCATTTGAGTCGTAGAGATACGTGTTTGTTCTTTGTCGTGGTGTTTATGACACAGTCGGAATCTAGCTATGGAGAGATCTCTTATTTTTTCCTAGGATTTTAGCGCTCTATGTAATTATAGTAATATTACATATTGTCCCCAATACCTGGGATACATAATCATGACTGATTCCATCGACTTTTTCCAGATCTAGTGAACATACCGTGAGAACCATATTATTAGTGGGAACGCGTGAAATAAAAGAAAGAAAATTTAAATTAAAAAAACAACTGGTTTTTTTCACTAATTGTGTAAGTTTGGTAAGTGGTGTTTGGTGACAGCCTAAGAGAAACCATTTCTTGAAAATGCACTTACTTTATATGAACCGTATGGTTTGTTGAAACTTGTGCATCATTGCCATTGAATATGCTTGCACACGGTGCCAGATAGTCAGGCAGGAGAAAGAACGTTACACGATAGACCCAGCTTCGTGCACACGGCGTCAGTCTACAGACAGTACGAGGTCCGTACAGTGCAGACTTCATTTCGAGCACACGGTGTATGAAGGAGTAGGGGCAACACCAGACTCCCAGTCTCGGATCAGCTCGTGACAGTCCTGGCTAAATATACACCGACAAAGACTCTAGAAGCCGTGTAACCTGGCCTGATGTTTGTCTTCACATCTAAGTAGCGGTGTAACGGCATATCAAGTGCTCGTGCATGCGTATGTAAGATATGCTAGATATGCTCCATGTGTACCTGTAATCTAACACACGCGTGAAGATGTATCTGAACTGTGTCTTGGTATATAACATTCGTATCTGTTTCGTGTTTCTTGTTTGACTTATTGTCTTCTCCATGTGACCAAGTTACACACATGAATCTCCATGTTTGTTTGTTTGTTTGTTTGTTTGTTTGTTTGTTGTTTAACGCCACACTCACTAATATTCCACCTATTTGATGGTAGTCTGTAAATAATCGAGTCTGGAGCAGACAATCCAGTGATTATTATCATGAGCATCGATCCACGCAATTGGAATATCAATATCTACCAAGTCAGAGTGCCTGACCACCCGATCCCGTTAGTCGCCTTACGACAAGAATAGTCACCTTTACGGCAAGCATGGGTTGCTGAAGACCTATTCTACCCCGGATCTTCACGGGTCGAATCTCTTTGTAACTTTGGATTAATATATTCTTGTTCAAACCGCAACAAACTCCCCATGCATGGAGTATATATTTTTGATTTATTACAGTCCTACCTCTGAAAAGCACACAGTTTAAATATATAGTTCATCCGCCTACACCAATTGTTTCAGAACCATTAGCCTTACGAAACAGTTTTATCTTTCATTCTCAGATTAACAAAAATTATCATTTCAACAACATGCACATATTCGCGTTTCATTCAAGGTTTAAACAGCTTGACTCCCCTGATCAAAGCCGACGTGGGTCTACTTCTGTACACGCGTGGGGCTACTTCTGTACACGCGTGGGGCTACTTCTGTACACGCGTGGGTCTACTTCTGTACACGCGAAGGGCTACTTCTGTTCACGCGTGGGTCTACTTCTGTACACGCTTGAGGCTACTTCTGTACACGCGTGGGTCTACTTCTGTACACGCGTTGGTCTACTTCTGTACACGCTTTGGTCTACTTCTGTACACGCGTGGGGCTACTTCTGTACACGCGTGGGGCTACTTCTGTACACGCGAAGGGCTACTTGTGTACACGCGTGAGGCTACTTCTGTACACGCGTGGGTCTACTTCTGTACACGCGTGAGGCTACTTCTGTACACGCGTGGGGCTACTTCTGTACACGCGTGGGGCTACTTCTGTACACGCGTGGGGCTACTTCTGTACACGCGAAGGGCTACTTCTGTACACGCGAAGGGCTACTTCTGTACACGCGTTGGTCTACTTCTGTACACGCGTTGGTCTACTTCTGTACACGCGAAGGGCTACTTCTGTACACGCGTGAGGCTACTTCTGTACACGCTTGAGGCTACTTCTGTACACGCGTGGGGCTACTTCTGTACACGCGTTGGTCTACTTCTGTACACGCGTGGGGCTACTTCTGTACACGCGTGGGTCTACTTCTGTACACGCGTGGGGCTACTTCTGTACACGCGAAGGGCTACTTCTGTACACGCGTGGGTCTACTTCTGTACACGCGAAGGGCTACTTCTGTACACACGTGGGTCTACTTCTGTACACACGTGGGTCTACTTCAGTACACGCGTGAGGCTACTTCTGTACACGCGTGGGGCTACTTCTGTACACGCGAAGGGCTACTTCTGTACACACGTGGGTCTACTTCTGTACACGCGTGAGGCTACTTCTGTACACGCGTGGGTCTACTTCTGTACACGCGTTGGTCTACTTCTGTATACGCGAAGGGCTATTTCTGTACACGCGAAGGGCTACTTCTGTACACGCCTGAGGCTACTTCTGTACACGCGTGAGGCTACTTCTGTACACGCGTGGGGCTACTTCTGTACACGCGTGGGTCTACTTCTGTACACGCGTGGGTCTACTTCTGTACACGCGAAGGGCTACTTGTGTACACGCGTGGGTCTACTTCTGTACACGCGTGAGGCTACTTCTGTACACGCGTGGGTCTACTTCTGTACACGCGTGAGGCTACTTCTGTACACGCGTGGGGCTACTTCTGTACACGCGTGGGTCTACTTCTGTACACGCGAAGGGCTACTTCTGTACACGCGAAGGGCTACTTCTGTACACGCGAAGGGCTACTTCTGTACACGCGTTGGTCTACTTCTGTACACGCGTTGGTCTACTTCTGTACACGCGAAGGGCTACTTCTGTACACGCGTGAGGCTACTTCTGTACACGCTTGAGGCTACTTCTGTACACGCGTGGGGCTACTTCTGTACACGCGTTGGTCTACTTCTGTACACGCGTGGGGCTACTTCTGTACACGCGTGGGTCTACTTCTGTACACGCGTGGGGCTACTTCTGTACACGCGAAGGGCTACTTCTGTACACGCGTGGGTCTACTTCTGTACACGCGAAGGGCTACTTCTGTACACACGTGGGTCTACTTCTGTACACACGTGGGTCTACTTCAGTACACGCGTGAGGCTACTTCTGTACACGCGTGGGGCTACTTCTGTACACGCGAAGGGCTACTTCTGTACACACGTGGGTCTACTTCTGTACACGCGTGAGGCTACTTCTGTACACGCGTGGGTCTACTTCTGTACACGCGTTGGTCTACTTCTGTATACGCGAAGGGCTATTTCTGTACACGCGAAGGGCTACTTCTGTACACGCCTGAGGCTACTTCTGTACACGCGTGAGGCTACTTCTGTACACGCGTGGGGCTACTTCTGTACACGCGTGGGTCTACTTCTGTACACGCGTGGGTCTACTTCTGTACACGCGAAGGGCTACTTCTGTACACGCGAAGGGCTACTTCTGTACACGCGTTGGTCTACTTCTGTACACGCGTGGGGCTACTTCTGTACACGCGAAGGGCTACTTCTGTACACGCTTGGGTCTACTTCTGTACACGCGTGGGGCTACTTCTGTACACGCGAAAGGCTACTTCTGTACACGCGTGGGTCTACTTCTGTACACGCGTGGGGCTACTTCTGTACATGCGTGGGGCTACTTCTGTACACGCGTGGGTCTACTTCTGTACACGCGTTGGTCTACTTCTGTACACGCGTGGGGCTACTTCTGTACACGCGTGGGGCTACTTCTGTACACGCGTGGGGCTACTTCTGTACACGCGTGGGGCTACTTCTGTACACGCGTGGAGCTACTTCTGTACACGCGTTGGTCTACTTCTGTACACGCGTGGGGCTACTTCTGTACACGCGTGGGGCTACTTCTGTACACGCGTGGGGCTACTTCTGTACACGCGTGAGGCTACTTCTGTACACGCGTGGGGCTACTTCTGTACACGCGTGGGGCTACATCTGTACACGCGTGGGGCTACTTCTGTACACGCGTTGGTCTACTTCTGTACACGCGTGGGGCTACTTCTGTACACGCGTGAGGCTACTTCTGTACACGCGTGGGGCTACTTGTGTACACGCGTGGGGCTACTTCTGTACTAGCGTGGGGCTACTTCTGTACACGCGTGGGGCGGCTTCTGTACTAGCGTTGGGCTACTTCTGTACTAGCGTGGGGCTACTTCTGTACTAGCGTGGGGCTACTTCTGTACTAGCATGGGGCTACTTCTGTACACGCGTGGGGCTACTTCTGTACACGCGTGGGGCTACTTCTGTACACGCGTGAGGCTACATCTGTACACGCGTGAGGCTACTTCTGTACACGCGTGGGGCTACTTCTGTACACGCGTGGGGCTACTTCTGAACACGCGTGGGGCTACTTCTGTACACGCGTGGGGCTACTTCTGTACACGCGTTGGTCTACTTTTGTACACGCGTGGGGCTACTTCTGTACACGCGTTGGTCTACTTCTGTACACGCGTTGGTCTACTTCTGTACACGCGTGGGACTACTTCTGTACACGCGTGGGGCTACTTCTGTACACGCGTGGGGCTACTTCTGTACACGCGTGGGGCTACTTCTGTACACGCGTGGGGCTACTTCTGTACACGCGTGGGGCTACTTCTGTACACGCGTGGGGCTACTTCTGTACACCAGTGGGGCTACTTCTGTACACCAGTGGCGCTAACGGCTTATGTTAACTTTCCAAGAACCCGGGTGACAGTTCTCTGTCTGAAGTTTCGGCATATGTACTATTTTAAACACTCAGTCGTGGAGGCTCACATGCATGCGCAGCAGAAACATTGCTGATTCGTCGTGTTATCATTATCGGTTTCTCCAGGCGGCGAGGGGTTCCCCCGACGTGAAACATGTGCACCTCACTGGTAAGAATTCTAATTGAGTTAGAAGAAACTCATCTTCGTCAAACGACATCACTTATCTCCCCGCCACTGAAGCTGGTTCGCTGTAAGTTACATGCTCAAGACACTGGGTATTACTGTTTACAAACTGAAAAAGTTGGATGATAAATAGAATCTCACCTCTGTGGCTTTTGATACTCGTCAATGAAAGTTTAAAACGACCCCTGTTGACCAACCAGCACCTCCTTACACCCCACCCTCACCCCACAAACCACCCCACCACCAGCCAACCACCCTAAACCCTACCACCATCACCTCCCCGCACCCCTACCCACCCTCACCCCACAAACCATCCCACCACCAGCCAACCACCCTAAACCCTCCCACCATCACCTCCCCGCACCCCACCCTCACCCCACAAACCATCCCACCACCAGCCAACCACCCCAAACCCTCCCACCATCACCTCCCCGCACCCCACCCTCACCCCACAAACCATCCCACCACCAGCCAACCACCCTAAACCCTACCACCATCACCTCCCCGCACCCCACCCTCACCCCACAAACCATCCCACCACCAGCCAACCACCCCAAACCCTCCCACCATCACCTCCCCGCACCCCACCCTCACCCCACAAACCATCCCACCACCAGCCAACCACCCTAAACCCTACCACCATCACCTCCCCGCACCCCACCCTCACCCCACAAACCATCCCACCACCAGCCAACCACCCTAAACCCTACCACCATCACCTCCCCGCACCCCACCCTCACCCCACAAACCATCCCACCACCAGCCAACCACCCCAAACCCTACCACCATCACCTCCCCGCACCCCACCCTCACCCCACAAACCATCCCACCACCAGCCAACCACCCCAAACCCTACCACCATCACCTCCCCGCACCCCACCCTCACCCCACAAACCATCCCACCACCAGCCAACCACCCTAAACCCTACCACCATCACCTCCCCGCACCCCACCCTCACCCCACAAACCATCCCACCATCACCTCCCCGCACCCCACCCTCACCCCACAAACCATCCCACCACCAGCCAACCACCCTAAACCCTACCACCATCACCTCCCCGCACCCCACCCTCACCCCACAAACCATCCCACCACCAGCCAACCACCCCAAACCCTCCCACCATCACCTCCACGCACCCCACCCTCACCCCACAAACCATCCCACCACCAGCCAACCACCCTAAACCCTACCACCATCACCTCCCCGCACCCCACCCTCACCCCACAAACCATCCCACCACCAGCCAACCACCCCAAACCCTACCACCATCACCTCCCCGCACCCCACCCTCACCCCACAAACCATCCCACCACCAGCTAACCACCCCAAACCCTACCACCATCACCTCCCCGCACCCCACCCTCACCCCACAAACCATCCCACCATCACCTCCCCGCACCCCACCCTCACCCCACAAACCATCCCACCACCAGCCAACCACCCTAAACCCTACCACCATCACCTCCCCGCACCCCACCCTCACCCCACAAACCATCCCACCACCAGCCAACCACCCCAAACCCTCCCACCATCACCTCCCCGCACCCCACCCTCACCCCACAAACCATCCCACCACCAGCCAACCACCCTAAACCCTACCACCATCACCTCCCCGCACCCCACCCTCACCCCACAAACCATCCCACCATCACCTCCCCGCACCCCACCCTCACCCCACAAACCATCCCACCACCAGCCAACCACCCTAAACCCTACCACCATCACCTCCCCGCACCCCACCCTCACCCCACAAACCATCCCACCACCAGCCAACCACCCCAAACCCTCCCACCATCACCTCCCCGCACCCCACCCTCACCCCACAAACCATCCCACCACCAGCCAACCACCCTAAACCCTACCACCATCACCTCCCCGCACCCCACCCTCACCCCACAAACCATCCCACCACCAGCCAACCACCCCAAACCCTACCACCATCAACTCCCCGCACCCCACCCTCACCCCACAAACCATCCCACCACCAGCCAACCACCCCAAACCCTACCACCATCACCTCCCCGCACCCCACCCTCACCCCACAAACCATCCCACCATCACCTCCCCGCACCCCACCCTCACCCCACAAACCACCCCACCATCACCTCCCCGCACCCCACCCTCACCCCACAAACCATCCCACCACCAGCCAACCACCCTAAACCCTACCACCATCACCTCCCCGCACCCCACCCTCACCCCACAAACCATCCCACCACCAGCCAACCACCCCAAACCCTACCACCATCACCTCCCCGCACCCCACCCTCACCCCACAAACCATCCCACCACCAGCCAACCACCCTAAACCCTACCACCATCACCTCCCCGCACCCCACCCTCACCCCACAAACCACCCCACCACCAGCCAACCACCCTAAACCCTACCACCATCACCTCCCCGCACCCCACCCTCACCCCACAAACCATCCCACCACCAGCCAACCACCCTAAACCCTACCACCATCACCTCCCCGCACCCCACCCTCACCCCACAAACCATCCCACCACCAGCCAACCACCCTAAACCCTACCACCATCACCTCCCCGCACCCCACCCTCACCCCACAAACCACCCCACCACCAGCCAACCACCCCAAACCCTACCACCATCACCTCCCCGCACCCCACCCTCACCCCACAAACCACACCACCACCAGCCAACCACCCTAAACCCTACCACCATCACCTCCCCGCACCCCACCCTCACCCCACAAACCACCCCACCACCAGCCAACCACCCCAAACCCTACCACCATCACCTCCCCGCACCCCACCCTCACCCCACAAACCATCCCACCATCACCTCCCCGCACCCCACCCTCACCCCACAAACCATCCCACCACCAGCCAACCACCCTAAACCCTACCACCATCACCTCCCCGCACCCCACCCTCACCCCACAAACCATCCCACCACCAGCCAACCACCCCAAACCCTCCCACCATCACCTCCCCGCACCCCACCCTCACCCCACAAACCATCCCACCACCAGCCAACCACCCTAAACCCTACCACCATCACCTCCCCGCACCCCACCCTCACCCCACAAACCATCCCACCATCACCTCCCCGCACCCCACCCTCACCCCACAAACCATCCCACCACCAGCCAACCACCCTAAACCCTACCACCATCACCTCCCCGCACCCCACCCTCACCCCACAAACCATCCCACCACCAGCCAACCACCCCAAACCCTACCACCATCACCTCCCCGCACCCCACCCTCACCCCACAAACCATCCCACCACCAGCCAACCACCCTAAACCCTACCACCATCACCTCCCCGCACCCCACCCTCACCCCACAAACCACCCCACCACCAGCCAACCACCCTAAACCCTACCACCATCACCTCCCCGCACCCCACCCTCACCCCACAAACCATCCCACCACCAGCCAACCACCCTAAACCCTACCACCATCACCTCCCCGCACCCCACCCTCACCCCACAAACCATCCCACCACCAGCCAACCACCCTAAACCCTACCACCATCACCTCCCCGCACCCCACCCTCACCCCACAAACCACCCCACCACCAGCCAACCACCCCAAACCCTACCACCATCACCTCCCCGCACCCCACCCTCACCCCACAAACCACACCACCACCAGCCAACCACCCTAAACCCTACCACCATCACCTCCCCGCACCCCACCCTCACCCCACAAACCACCCCACCACCAGCCAACCACCCCAAACCCTACCACCATCACCTCCCCGCACCCCACCCTCACCCCACAAACCATCCCACCACCAGCCAACCACCCCAAACCCTACCACCATCACCTCCCCGCACCCCACCCTCACCCCACAAACCATCCCACCACCAGCCAACCACCCCAAACCCTACCACCATCACCTCCCCGCACCCCACCCTCACCCCACAAACCATCCCACCACCAGCCAACCACCCTAAACCCTACCACCATCACCTCCCCGCACCCCACCCTCACCCCACAAACCATCCCACCACCAGCCAACCACCCCAAACCCTACCACCATCACCTCCCCGCACCCCACCCTCACCCCACAAACCACCCCGCCACCAGCCAACCACCCCAAACCCTACCACCATCACCTCCCCGCACCCCACCCTCACCCCACAAACCATCCCACCACCAGCCAACCACCCCAAACCCTACCACCATCACCTCCCCGCACCCCACCCTCACCCCACAAACCATCCCACCACCAGCCAACCACCCTAAACCCTACCACCATCACCTCCCCGCACCCCACCCTCACCCCACAAACCATCCCACCACCAGCCAACCACCCTAAACCCTACCACCATCACCTCCCCGCACCCCACCCTCACCCCACAAACCATCCCACCACCAGCCAACCACCCCAAACCCTACCACCATCACCTCCCCGCACCCCACCCTCACCCCACAAACCACCCCGCCACCAGCCAACCACCCCAAACCCTACCACCATCACCTCCCCGCACCCCACCCTCACCCCACAAACCATCCCACCACCAGCCAACCACCCCAAACCCTACCACCATCACCTCCCCGCACCCCACCCTCACCCCACAAACCATCCCACCACCAGCGAACCACCCTAAACCCTACCACCATCACCTCCCCGCACCCCACCCTCACCCCACAAACCATCCCACCACCAGCCAACCACCCCAAACCCTACCACCATCACCTCCCCGCACCCCACCCTCACCCCACAAACCACCCCGCCACCAGCCAACCACCCCAAACCCTACCACCATCACCTCCCCGCACCCCACCCTCACCCCACAAACCACCCCGCCACCAGCCAACCACCCTAAACCCTACCACCATCACCTCCCCGCACCCCACCCTCACCCCACAAACCATCCCACCACCAGCCAACCACCCTAAACCCTACCACCATCACCTCCCCTCACCCCACCCTCACCCCACAAACCACCCCGCCACCAGCCAACCACCCTAAACCCTACCACCATCACCTCCCCGCACCCCACCCTCACCCCACAAACCACCCCGCCACCAGCCAACCACCCTAAACCCTACCACCATCACCTCCCCGCACCCCACCCTCACCCCACAAACCACCCCGCCAGCACGCCGGGTAACAGACGTCTACAGGTAGCTAGCACGCCAGGTAACAGACGTCTACAGGTAGCCAGCACGCCAGGTAACAGACATATACGGGTCGCAAGCACGCCCGGTAACAGACGTCTACGGGTAGCCAGCACGCCAGATCACAGACGTCTACAGGTAGCTAGCACGCCAGGTAACAGACGTCTACAGGTAGCCAGCACGCCAGTTAACAGACGTCTACAGGTAGCCAACACGCCAGGTCACAGACGTCTACATGTAGCCAACACGCCAGGTATCAGACGTCTACGGGTAGCCAGCACGCCAGGTAACAGACATCTACGGGTAGCCAGCACTCCAGGTAACAGACGTCTACAGGTAGCCAGCACGCCAGGTAACAGACATCTACGGGTAGCCAGCACGCCAGGTAACAGACGTCTACAGGTAGCCAGCACGCCAGGTAACAGACATATACGGGTCGCAAGCACGCCCGGTAACAGACGTCTACGGGTAGCCAGCACGCCAGATCACAGACGTCTACAGGTAGCTAGCACGCCAGGTAACAGACGTCTACGGGTAGCCAGCACGCCAGGTAACAGACGTCTACAGGTAGCCAGCACGCCAGGTAACAGACATCTACGGGTAGCCAGCACGCCAGGTAACAGACGTCTACAGGTAGCCAGCACGCCAGGTAACAGACATCTACGGGTAGCCAGCACGCCAGGTAACAGACGTCAACGGGTAGCCAGCACGCCAGGTAACAGACATCTACGGGTAGCCAGCACGCCAGGTAACAGACGTCTACGGGTAGCCAGCACGCCAGGTAACAGACGTCTACAGGTCGCTAGCACGCCAGGTAACAGACGTCTACGGGTGGCCAGCACGCCAGGTAACAGACATCTACGGGTAGCCAGCACGCCAGGTAACAGACGTCTACGGGTAGCCAGCACGCCAGGTAAAAGACATCTACGGGTAGCCAGCACGCCAGGTAACAGACATCTACGGGTAGCCAGCACGCCAGGTAACAGACGTCTTCGGGTAGCCAGCACGCCAGGTAACAGACGTCTACAGGTCGCTAGCACGCCAGGTAACAGACGTCTACAGGTAGCCAGCACGCCAGGTAACAGACGTCTACAGGTCGCTAGCACGCCAGGTAACAGACATCTACGGGTAGCCAGCACGCCAGGTAACAGACGTCTACAGGTCGCTAGCACGCCAGGTAACAGACATCTACGGGTAGCCAGCACGCCAGGTAACAGACG